GCAGCTGGCCTAACCCTGGGTGCTCAGGTGACCACGCACGCTCGGTGAGGGGCGTTTCCTAAGGCCGCAGAAACGTGCTTGGGAAACTCGGGTAACTCACACCCGCCTCACCCCAGCAAGCGGCACGGGGGTCTCAGCCGTGGGCCTGACTCTGAGTCGGGTCCCTTCAGTTCTGCCGCACACCTGAGGTTCCTCTCCACTGTCCCCTCAGTGCAATGACCATGTCCCTCCTGGGAACTCAAGAAGGATGAGAGGGAAGTAGAAAGAGCACATAATGCTCATCTTTAAATCTGACGGGGCTGCCAAACCCCAGGAACATGACACCACCGTAACCGTGAGCCACAGAAGACGTGAAGAAAGCCATCCTGGAACACTTTAGGAGTCACGTGCTCCCGTGGTTGGTGAGGTATAAGCAGGGAACCCCACTCAGGCCTCCGCATCGTGTGCAGGGAGAGATGCCTAGAGGAGCGAGGTTGCAGGACCAGCTCTGCTCGGCTGCTCCCTCGGGTGGGGTCACTGGCTCGCCTGGGCTGGGCGCTGGGGCCGAACCAAGAGTGACTGTGGTTGGGGTGGGAGGGCAGAGGCAACTGATGTGCCCAGGCCCTACCCCTGGAAGGCCCTCTAAGTGCCAAAGACAGACAATGCCCTCAGAATGTTCCAGTAGCCTGCCTCATGTGCTTCTAGATCAACGCTCCTGAGACCCCAGAAACCAGCGGGTGACCACTCAGCGTTTTGTGAGCCCCAGCGAAGCAACACCAGAATGTGGCAGGCTGCAGCGGCCTCCTGTGATTCAGGGAGTCCCTGAAGCTGGGGAGTGGGCCAGACCAGGTCCCACCCCAGTCTGGTGTGGCCCTTGGTGTGGCCTATGTGAGCCCAACCCCCAGCCCCTGTCAACTACTGGGCAGAGCTGGGGGGATGAGCATTTGTCCCCTCCTGCTGGTCCCCGGGTGGCCTTTCTCCTTTCACAGTGGAACGTCACCTCGCAGCAGTGTGGGCCAGCGGGTGTTTGTGTTAAGAAGGAAAAGAACAGAGGCAGGACAAAGAGGAGAGGTGAGAGAACTGAGAGAGGGAAGGAACAAAAACAACAGCCCTGATCCAGGAGCACACGGGGGAAGTCACCGTGTCAACTCTTCAATGTCATGATGGCTGGTGGCAGCACAGCAGGTTGGCCCCAAACCTCCACAGCACACAAACCCTCCTGGTGGGAACCAACTCGCTCCCAGGGAAAGTGCTCAGCTCTCCCCGAGGACAACTGGCAGGGTCTGGTGGCCACAGTTGTTACCAGCCAGGACTGCTGCCCTCTCTGGCCAGGCATACAGTAGGGTCCTAATCAGTGCTTCCAGAACACATACAGACCTAGCGACCACGACAGACATGCAACACAGATGGGCACACGTGCACTTTTAACTCAGCCCAGCCGACACTTCTTGGGAAAGTGTTTCTCCCCGGGGATGTGTCTGGTGATCCCTCCCCGGACATGCACACGTGCACACGCACCCACAGCCCTGAGTCGGGCTGCAGGGAAAAGCTTACAGTGGATGTGCTGGAGGCTCTCTGTCCGACAGGAATACCATGTGAACCGTGGAGCTATTTTTTTTTTTTTAAGAGACAGAGTCTTGCTCTGTCACCCAGGCTGGAGTGCAGTGGTGTGACCATAGCTCACTGCAGCACTGAACTGAGCTCAAGTGATCCTCCCACCTCAGCCTCCCGAGTGGCTGGGGCTATAGGCTCGCGCCACCATGCCAGGCTTATTTTTATATTTTTTTTGTAGAGACTTGGTCTCACTATGGTGCTCAGGCTGGTCTTGAACTCTGGGCCTCAAGCAATTCTCCTACCTCGGCCTCCCAAAGTACTAGGATTATAGGTGTGAGCCACCATGCCCGGCCCACACACCTAATTTTAAATTTTTTAGTAGTAATGTTAAAAAGTAAAGAATTGTAAGCTATTGTTCCTTTAAAAAAAAAGAAAATGGACATTAACTCAAATAATAGATGCTGCATTTACTTTTATACCCATTCTTTGCCATCTGCCGTGTACTTACACATACAGTGTGTCGTGGCTACACCAGCCATGGGTGGCTCGTGGTCCCCCTATCAGGCAGCACAGCTCACGTGAGATTCACGCCTTCCACATACCAAAGGACATCTTACATGTGCTGGAGACACGTCTCTTTATAATGAAATGTATAGTTTCCCAAAACTGAAACAGAGCATGCTGAGCTGAATTTAATTGTCCCTCAATGACACCAGCCCCTCACCATGACAACCATCACCTCTCTGTGCTTCTGGGTCTTTTGCATCCCCTTCTCTGCTGGGTGTGAGTGAGCCTGTGGGTGGTAGTCCCCGTGGACCACCTGGAAGGCTGGGGGCAGGAACCCAGAAGAGCTGGCTGCTCCTGCTGCAGCTCACAGAGGCAGGCCCGTAAGTGGGGCTGGCCCGCGGCCTGGGGCAACTGCACACCCAAGTCTGTGGGAAATCTGGGGCCACCACACCCCCCAGTTGGGTCACT